TCGTGGTTTTTCCAATTTTGAAGCAGTTTTTAAATTCCATACAACTTTTTTAGTGGTTCCGAGTTCAGGGTATTCGAAAGATTTCGTGTTACACGGTGAACGTATGTATAAATACCCCCCTTGAACTGATGAAATCTCCCTGTAAAAAAGGTGCTCAGAACATACATTAGGGTTTTTGAGATTTTCGTTACACGGTGGACGTATGTAGAAATGCCCCCTTGAACTGATGAAATCTCCCTGTAAAAAAGGTGCTCAGAACATACAAATATATACTACTCCAAGCAAAACTCATTGAGTTGATAAAAAAAAGTTAAAATTAATATAAGCATAAAATAGGTATAATAGAACAATCAAAGTGTGTCTCATGCGATTGCGATAAGGATGATTATGTTTTTGGTATTTTAACCATTTATATTTGATAAGGATTTTGATGTATTTTATCTTATAGCTAAACTGGACTGGCCGTAGCTCGATGTCTAAATTTTGAAGTTATTTTCAAAGAAAAGCGAGAACAAAAAGAATAAATGACATTTTGGAATTTAGTACCTGGAAAATACAAAACCATACAAAAATGTTCCCACTTTTTGCTAACAATGTTCACATTAACAAATCTATGTAAAACTTCATATTCAAAAATGAAATATGCAAAAAATGTTTACTGATATCGGCTTACTGATTCACATCTTGATGACTTGTGAAGAGTAGCATGCAGCAACTACAAACCAGATATATCCAAAATAGTTAAAGAACTATCTCAATATCAAAATTCATACTAATTTAAAGGTTTCAACATTTTCAAATGTTATACTCAATATACAAATATATTTTTAGTATTTTTTTTTAATCCCCGTTCCGTTCATTTCGAATTGCGGCCCGCGTAATATTTTATGTGGCCCAAATAAAAAAAGTTTGAGTATGGCTAGTCCATTGGAATATGATTAAATTTCGTTTGATAGTCAATAGATATTTCGGCTTATATTCATTTAACACACAAACTGCATGTACAATGTTGATGTACAAAGTAACTTATAACTTGTTCAAATGTACAAGTTACATTATACAATTTGCGATGTGTACAACAATTGATGCACAGTTCCTCACATTGTAAATAACATATAGGTACATTTGATTAAAATTAATTTTTTCATAATTCCAAATTATAAAATGTTTTTTCAAAAGTAATTCTTGTTGTATATTTTTTAATGTTTCACCGTCTCCAATGCAGAAAGTTATCATTTTTTTATTACATCACAGTCTAGATTATTTTTGATAAATTAAAAAAGATTGATATTTTAATTTATTATGTTATTTAGAAATTTGTGACGAGGAATTATTGTATACTTGATTTTTCTGTACTATTTAAAAAGTAAACTTTTAATTGCAGTAACCATATAAGTATTGACGTCACTATATTTTTAAATTTTAAGTTAGAAAACTATAGGTATAAATGGTATAATACATTTTTTTTGTCAGTCGACTGTGTGTATAGCACAATTGTACATAGTATGCATTTGTATACTCACGGTCTTCTTGCTTTTTTCACCGCAATAATTCCACCATGTTCAAGGAGGAATGTTCAGCTCAAAGGATGTTGATTTTACCGTTTTACACATCACAAGGAGATTTCATAGTTATTATTCATACATTTAACAGACATACAAAACATATTTACCTTATTACACAATTACAGGGAGATTACATAGACTTTTGGGTTCTGAACGAAGCTATAAATTTATTGATTTTACAGTGGTGTGGTATGTTTAACTAAATATTTTAAATATAATCAAACATTTTTTTCGTGCCTGTGTACACGATAAGTAGTCGATATAATACTTTGATTTTCAATATCAGCATCTTTTCTGGCGGGAATGTGATTCTAGTAGGTGAAATCGAGAATTAAAGACTGAAAATCTCTTGTAGTCTTTAAAAGCTTCGGGAAAAATTAAAAATAAAAATTAAGAAAAATCAGGAATTTAATTAAAACTAATTTTTGGTAAAACTAATTCTAAAAAAAAAAAACAATTGTTGATATTTTTTATATTTTCCTGGTACCTACATCATAAATTAATAAATGTACGTATACAGTATAAGGAGAAATATTTGTATTTAGGTAGGTATGTGAATATAAAATAATAATATAATACAAGCAAGTAGTATGAATATTAATAATAATAATACTCGATAGGTACATCATTTGGCAACATTATAAAATTAAATTAAAATATGTACATATTTGTTTAATATAATTAATATTTCAATGAAATATACTTAAAATATAATAGGATTAACTAATGAAATTATAATTTATACTATATATTTTGCTGCATAGTGAGGTGATAGAATAATTAAAAGGTATGTTTTTTTAAAGTTTATTAGTAATAGTTTTTTGGATTGATAAAAAAATTAAGTTTTGCTATTGAAGGACTACAATTTATCTATTTCATAATTGAATAGCTTAAATACAAAAGTTTAAATCTAGATAGTTTCCACTGTTTTTGGGGAAGTCATATAAGAAAACAACAAAACTCCATCATAAATTCATAACCTGTGTGAATCATAAAATATAGTTTCGGATAAATTTGAGATTTTAAGTACCTACGTATTGTAGAATTAGGAGATTAGATGATGGTGGCATATTCTAATAATTAGTATCTACTTCGATCCTTAATTCAAAATCCAAAATTTAGTTCATTATAAACAATTTTAGATTGATAGTTTAAATTTTAGGTGCTTTAAAAGTTTTAACCAAAGAAGTTTTTCTATTCTTTCAGTGATAATAAATAATAATAATTTCTTTTGCACTAATTATTATTACGACCAATATTATTATTGATATTAAAAAACCAATAGCAACCATTTATAAACAAAAATTTCCTTTGTAAATCTCAAAATCCCTGTTTAAGCACCTCCTGGGGTCGGACCTCCCTCTCTCTCTTAAAATTAGTCTATCTTCTTCCCAGAGGTCTAATATATATGTGTATCAAATTTAATCGCAATCGGTTGAACGGTTTATAAGTGCACCAAGGACAGACAGGCAGATGGACATTTTTATATGTATTGATTATTATGGTAATTTTTTAATGAACCTAAAAATTTGTACAAAAATGGGAAGTAGGTACAGACATGCATTTATTACTAAAAATATTAAAACGTTTTGGAGTGCTGAACAAAAGCCAAGACTCTCTTTTTGATGATACACAAAATAAAATTAATATTACTTAATTAACGCTTTCGTCTTTCTTATTGTTTTAGAATTTTTAAATTTTATAATAATTGGCGGTGTTGACATAACTTCCCTATTTTAATTTCAATCATGTTTTCTCGTTAGTATATTACCATCAAAATAGTTAATCGTGCGATTTAGAACCAAACCCACGCGTCACCTACTTGTTATATAGTGTATCGCTCCCTATGGACATCGCAGACATTAATTATAATAATATAAGATATACCTCCTGCAGTGTGTATATTTACATTGACATTGTATCACTTTTAGAGTAACAAGATACCTCCAATCATCATCATTAGTGTACAGCGTCAGGACTGCAGGCCGTGCTTACCTTACCTACTCGTCCGATTTATGGTCGGTCAGTATTGTAGGTTAGCCACAAGCGTTGCGGTATATACGACTCTATATACCTGGCGCCTTTGGCCTTTGACTAGATGGCGAGAGAATTAAGCGGGATTCACTGGACTGGAAAATCGTTTTCAAAGATGTATTATAGGACGACAGTGTAGCATTATATGTGTGGAAATACTGTTAAACCAAAAACCATGTACTTTTTATCCGTGTGTTGGACGGCGAAATATCAGCTGTGCGATGAGGCGAGCGCAAAATAGTGTATAGAATAGTATCCCCTTTACGTACGTAAAATCAATCCAAACGAACATGAAAGATACGGCGAGGAATAATAATAATAAAAAGTCTAAAAAAAAAGGAATAAAAACAACGATTCTGTTTTGAAAGGCTCGTCGGATATAATACAGTTTGAAAAAAAGGAAAAAATAGTGAGAACGAAGGATAGATAAAAGGAGTCGTTTATATTGCAAGGAAACCAGAGTTCGACCTGCTCTTACTATAATGTATATACACATTTAAGAAAATCATACACGCAGCATCTAAAAAAGTATTAAAAAAACTATACAAACAATAATTTGCATACACAATTGTCTTAATGGTCGAACACTTCATTTGCAAATGCAAGCGAACAAACGAGTAAGAATAAAAATAATGTTTTCTAGAATCGAATACTAAGAGCCATAAAAATTGAATACATATTTTGAATTTCTCTGATGGTTTCATATAAACTGCTTAACATTCAAATCTTAAAACTTGTATAGAAACATTGACAAACTTAAGTTTCTGGTTTTATTTATGGGCATTAAAATAGTTATACGAAAACAATAATTAGATACCTATATGATAAAACCTATATAGTCATGGGCGCCCGGAGGGGGGGGCAAGACGGGGCATTTGCCCCCCCCTGGAATTCAAATAGAATGTTGAACATTTTAACTTTTATTTTAATTTATTAACATTTCATCGATATTTTTACTTTAGTGTGTGCCGTGTGGGGTTGTTGATCGTAATAATGCGTATTACATTAATCGCCCAAAATTAAATACGTTTAAATTCTGCGAATTGATATTAATCGCTTAGTGTGTAAACCACTTATGACGACCGACGCACCACGTACACATACGCACACGACGTCTGTCAGATAACGGAGATAAGTAAAAATAAATCGAATGTACAATATCACATTGGGAATTATTGAAATAATTGTAAAATGAAATTATTTCTCAACGCGCCGTCTACTGAGAAACACGGACCACGCTGAATTACGTACGTATTGTATTTTGTATATTTAATATTTTGTTTTATTGTTAATATTGTTAATATGGACATCAGAAATTTTTTTAAAAAACCCAAGCTTTGTGATTCTCTTAATGAAGCTACTGGCTCTACTTCAATTGAAATAAATAATAGTACAGTCAATATGGAGTCGTCGGAATTGTGTCTAGTTGAAAGTGCTTCGGTTACCATGAATACAAAAAATAACAGTGGTCATATAATCTTAACTTATGAAAAAGATATTGGAAATTATTTGAACGTCGAAAATATTGACGATTGTTTAAAACATGAACTTTTACGTAATCCTTGGGTACCGAATACTACTTATGACTTTAAAAGTGATTTAAAATCAGGAAGAACTCGAGCATTTAGACATCAATGGTTGCACGAATACGGTTCATGGTTGACATATTCAGCTCTTGAGGGTGTGAAAGGAGCTTTTTGTAGAATATGTGTGTTGTTCAAGCCATCAATTCATAGAGGCGTACAAGGTGGATTTATAATAAGACCGTTTACTAAGTATAAGGATTTTCATGCATCTTCTAGAATACATTTGTCTTCAAATTGGCACACTGAATCAATGTCAAGAGCAAAAGATTTTATGGATATTATGAATGGTAAAAAAATTAATGTTATTGAACAAGTAAATTCTGGATTGCATAAAGAAATAGAAACTAATAGGCTAAAATTAAAACCTATTATATCAACTATTTTGTTTTGTGGAACTCACGACCTTCCCTTACGAGGGAAAAAATCAGATTCTGGTGTTTTTCACGATCTTTTAAACTTTCGTATTGAATCTGGCGATGAGATATTGAAAGATCATTTTTTAACTAATGTGGGAAATGCTAAATATTCGTCCCATAGAACTCAAAATGAATTAATTACACTGTGTGGAAAAATATTAAAAGAAGAAATAGTATGTGAAGCTAATGCCGCGAATGCGTTTTCCATTATTGCTGACGAATCAGCAGATATTTCTGGTGTTGAGCAGCTAACAATTGTAATTAGATTTTTAGACAAACAGTCCAAGATTCGAGAAGAATTCCTTGGCTTTTTACCATTAGATAAATTAGACGCAGAATCAGTTGCTACTAAAATTTTATCATTTATGGAAGATAGTGGCCTTAATTTAAGTAAATTTTGTGGACAAGGTTATGACGGCTGTGCTACAATGGCTGGCAAAGTAGGCGGCGTTGCTAAATTAATTCGTGACCGATATAATAAAGCTTTATATTTCCATTGTGCTAGTCACCGATTAAATTTAGTAATTAACGATCTAAACAAAATGATGGTTATTCGTAATACTATTGGCACAATAAAAGAAATTATAAAATTTTATCGCGAAAGTACCCTTCGAAGAAATCTTATACCTAATATACCACTTTTTTGCGAAACCCGCTGGTCTTCAAAGTATAAGAGTATTAGGCTATTTTCTGAAAATTTTATTGCTATAATTCAAAGCCTTCAATCTTTGTCTGTTAATGGTCTTATAAATTCGAATACAAGACAACGTGCACTATGTCTATACTCTTCAACCTCAAATTTTTCATTTATAATTAGTATGAAAATAATCGCAAAATACAGCGCTATCTTAGAACCGGTTACAAATATTTTACAAGGTGTATCAATGGAGCTGTATAAAGTTCGGGAACATGTAGAGGAATTGTTAAAAATGTTAGAAGACAATAGAACAAATGCAAATGAAATCTTTGATTTATTATTTACTGATGCCAAATCTATAGCAGATGATTTTGAAATCACTATTACTTGTCCCAGAATAACTGGAAAACAATCACACAGAAACAATTATTCTTATGAATCTCCCAAAGACTACTATCGAGTATCAATTTTTCTACCTTATCTAGATTCAATAATTCAATGTATTAAAGAAAGATTTGAAAAAAGTAATAGTGTTGCTTTTTCACTACAACACCTTCATCCAGCATTATTTATAAAAATGAAAAAACAAGAGTACACTGACAGCATAACTAATATTTATAATTTTTATAAAATTGAAAATCTGTTAGCTGAAAGTGAAAGTTGGTATAGTTTATGGCAAAAAAAAGACTGCCAAAGTATGGACATAATAGATTTACTAGAACATAGCAAAATATTTTTTCCTGGCATTACAATTGCATTAGAAATTTTTCTGTCTTTGCCAGCTACAAGTTGTGCAGCCGAAAGGTCATTTAGCACTTTACGAAGGGTTAAGACTTGGCTTCGGTCTACGACGGGTGAAGACCGATTAAATGGCCTATGTATGTTAAGTGTCCATCGTGAAAGAGTTGATGTAAGAAAAGATAAATTAATTGAACAGTTAATAACAAGGTTTGCAATAGAACAACCACGAAGACTTCAGTTTTTATTTAATAACGACTAAATAGCATATAATTCTTTTTGTTGTTGGATTTCATATAATTTTAACACATTTTGTAGTTTACAAGGAATAAACTTTTTTTAATGTATTTTTTTGTGTTTGATTTCATTATGCCCCTCCCTGATGAATTTCCTGCGGGCGCCCATGTATATAGTGTACATTAGGTATTAATTATTTTCCATTTTAATCACCATTCATCCCATATAACTATATAAGTATATCTGAAGTATTGTATTATCATAGTATAATTTCGTAATTAGGTACCTAAAAGTAAAAATAGTGGAACCTAATACATTTATCTGAAAAATTATGTTAATTTTTGATGTGTTATTGTAGTTTTACCTACACATCAAAATATTTAATACTATAATAATTAAAAAGTGGGTAAGTGGATCTCGCTCTGCTGTACCTACATTAGGTGTCTAGGAGGTCGCTGTAATGGATGGTATTAAATTTGAATTCAATGATATCAAAATCAAATCATCGTATACGAAAAATGATTCTGAGCGGAGATGGTATGTCAGTTTAGGATATTTTATATTGTTACTACTTATTATTAATATTACAGGTGGTAAGTTCAATTAATATTATTCTTAAATTATCAGTGTTGCTGAAAAAATATTAAATATACCTATGTAAAATTGGGCTGTTTTGGAACCGAATTACAACAAAATGATAAACGTTATTCTTTTTGTTAATACGCAATTTTGTCCAAATTTGAAAATGTCTGTAAAAAATAATTGTATTAATAAATTTTTTAGATTTCTTAGGTACGGTAAAAACTACTTAAGTGGAACCTTGTTTTAAATGTTCAATCCTTGTCTATAAAAATTGAAAATTGTATACATTTTCACCTATAAAATCATTTTCAATTTTCAATTTGATAAATATTGTCAAAATTTGAAATTTAAATTCTTATAAAAAAAAATCGTGCCTATGTATTTTTAATATTTTTCTACCGCTATTGTAACAAGTTATCATAAGTCTTGTATTAAATTTCATGCTTTTTGCCCCAACCATTAAATTATATATAATTTTATTGACATTTATAGTAAAAAAAAAAAATTTAAAAAATTAAAATTGAAAATGTCCATCAACAGCTTAAAACGAGTCAAAATATTTTATCAAGTATATAAATTGATGAAATAAACAGTTGGTGTAAATTTCAAATGTCTGCCATAATTCGTTTTTGAATTACAACTAAATAAGAAAATCACTAAAAGAGACATCGAGTGAATATCCAATGTTGTACAAATTTCAACTCCAAACGCTCATAAAAATTTAATTTGACTTTCCGGTACAATTTTTTTTGATAGAGGTAGACAAATTTGTAAAAAATCTTGTATTAAATTTTTCAATCTTGTTTAAAAAAATGAAATGCTTAAAAAAAACAAATAACAATCGAAAATTGCATGTCTATAAATAGTTCAACACAAAACAAAATATTTTAAAAATTGTGTGGTGTACAGAAAATGCTTACAAAATTATTCAGTGAAAATCACATGTATCTACGGTCATTTTTGTTAAAGTTACACTAAGAACCAACATTTTTCCGATTTTTTTCGAAAACTGCCGTTTTGAGTAAAAATTCTCGTTTTTACTTAATTTTTTGTTTGTTTTTCCTGTTTCTTTTGAAAACTATTGGGAATTTTAAATTCTGACTTCCCGAATGCACTAACTAGATTCACTTTCTTACCAGAAAAGTTGCTGTTGAAGAAAATCGAAGCACTTTTACTGCAAGAAACCGTGATGACACTATGACAGACACAAAAAAAATAAATAAATATAAAAACATACATCATTGTAAAATCAATACATTCATCGCTCCGCTCAGAATTTAAACTATATTTATATATTTTATGAATATTATTATTTATATTTTTTTTGTATCTATAAAATAACGTCGGAGAATACTTTTACTACTTACAACAAAATGACTAAAATCTTTATTTTTGGTTTTAATATGTAATTTCGTCCTACTCGTAATTATATATTTTTTAGATTTTTCGGTTACAGAATTAACTACTTACTTGGAACCTTATTTAAATTTTCAATCCTTAGTTATAAAAGTTGAACATTTTAAACATGTTTGACAACTACAAAATAATTTTTAAATGTTTTCAAAAAAAATTTTGCATAGATAGTGTTATTGGAATGATGTGAGAGAAGCCTCTAGTATAGAATTTTCCTTCTTTTTGACCCAACAAATACAATTTTATAGACACTAATAAAATAAAATAAAAATAATTAAATTGGAAATGTCTAAGACATGTGTGTGTTGTTAATAAGAATAACTAAATAAAACACATTTTATTACCTACGTATTAAAACTATTTTAAAAAATATTTTTTTCAATCGGTTCAGTATTGTTATAGGATTTTTGACACACACGAGAAAAGATAACTATCGAATTGCAGACATATATAATATACATATGCTGTAAATTGTAATACATATATTATATATATATATGAATATAAGGTCTAAAAGCGATCAACCAATTTCCCTAGGATACAAAGATCAAAGGAAAATGTACGAGTAGGTAGGTATCACGATATCTGAATTCGTATATTCTCACTAGTGTGTTTACATTAAAGGGATATAAGCTGGTACACAGTAATTCACTGGTTGTAACCTCTTCCTCGCTTATAACTTATTATAATATTTTGTTTGTATGATCATATATTTAGGATACCACTGTTTATGACATATTTTGCAGTAGGTACCCGGGAACAAAATGTAAGACTGCAAAATTAATTATTATTAAACATTGACGCAGGTACACCTACTGTGTAAAAAGTGTGTTTCGCATCGACCAGAATTACGATTTGCGGGGTATGTAAAATGAGTACGAACATCTTCAAAGGGATCAGAAGTGTTTGTGGCATTCCCATCTAACAGATAGGTATTTGCAGGTAATCAAATAGGTTCAAAGCCTTTTCAAAATATCAAAACTATATATCTGTGTTATAAATGTAATATTGACCGAAAAGCGCGAATTTCAAGTCTACGTTTCAATAGAGAGTGCAGTCTCTTATTTGGTTACCAACTCAGTTTTACGAAAATTCAAAGTGCAGTAGACAATTTTTCCGACCAGAGAGACATTATACACGAGCATTATAAAACAGATGACTTTTCAATATTACTAATTTTTTTTTCTTTCGATTTTTGTCACCAGTGATTAGTTACGGCGGAATAACTCTCAATACAGATTTAAAATATGACCTAAATATTATCGCATTACAAATGCACGAGGTTCTGTACTTGATACTTTATTATTAGCTTTTGATGCCATCAAAAATATCGTTCGTTGGGTACATACTTCAATACTTGATTCCGGTAGTCGTTTCACGCATAAACAACTCATTGCTAAGTGTGTTATAATTATTATAGTCTCGTCCCACGTTGCTGCCAGATAAAGCGCACCCGCCGCCGCTTTTTATACAGTTAGGGACTTTTCCCCTTAATTATGCGCGTCCATTAATATATTGTATTTTATAAATTACATTCTTATGACTCTTTTCATTACGGTTATAATCCTTATTATCAGCTCTGTATCTGTACCCGGGCAACGTAATGATATAATAGATTTACCCAAATGTGCACCTACCCATGATATATTATAACACGCTTATAATGCGTTGTGTGTATAATAAATATATAAATTAAAAAAATTAATATCCCGCACTACACCGTTAACACCACTTCACAGTTTTATTACCTACCTTGTTATGTTGTTAATATGCATTAGGTACGTTGTATATTGGCATAAGACTTGGAAAATGTATATTCATTAAATCCACATAATAAACTGTATTTTTATATCCTCTAATATTCTTTAAAAGCGTATAATATACTATAAAGTGATTATGAAAGAACCAGACTGTATAAGAAAAAATACGACAGGGATATATGTACAAATTACGGCCACAATAAGTAACTATAGTAGTATTCATTAACAAATAACAAATGGTTCGGGTTTTGCCACACGAACAAAATAAATACACGATATAAATAATATTATTTTATATATAGATACATATTATAAGAAATATACGAATTATATAATATACTTATAAGCATAGGAAATACATAGGAGATTCGTAGATATATTACATTAATGTCTGATGTCAATACAACAATATATAACAATTATAATATTGTGTACAACAATATGGGAACTAGCGTTGGCGAATTTGAGAAACGATTTCGGAACATTTGATGTTAAGTTATACCAATTTTTAAACTACAATAGCATTGACGCTGATACTTAATATAATACATTCTATAACTTGTTCCAAAAGTGCGGCGCAGAGATTGTTATTCGTTATATACATTAAACATGGAACTGCAGTAGGAAACACCGTAAAAATTCACCCAATTATAATATTATGTTCGTTAAAAATTTCGATTTGTCATGCACGGAACATTCGATTTAACGATTTCGGAATGATAAAAAGAATATCGTGGAAACGAAACGATTGAGTTCAACGTTAGTGGGATATTTATCTATTATTTATACCATTTTTGTTTTGCTTAATGTTTTCATTTTTATTTTGGTTCCTGGATATAATCGTTTACATATCGCACACATTCTATCTCTATGCGTGAATAATTACGTGTTTAATGATAAAATTATTGTGCATAATACGCTATAGGTGTATAAATTGTACTCGAATTCTCCTGGGAAAAAACGAAAAGTTCTAAAATTGACGATTGGTGTGTTTCGTGTTCGAGTGACTTCAGTTCACGATCAAGTCGGTGTCGGTTTACCTCACAAAAAACATACTTTTAACACTGTATTACGATTTTAAAGCCTCCATCATAACATGGTTGCTCGTATTGTGTAGAAGTTCTTGCATATCATATCAATTTATCTGATGTGGAGAAGAAGTGGATGTTTTTTTTATATATATCATAGTCATATTTAAAAATTGTATATGATAACTTGTGCTTTGGTATGCTTTCTAATGGAGGCCTTAAGCATAAAGATAATTTTCGAA